CCTACACCCCCTTTTTTTTTTTTTTTTTTTTTTTTGAATATTTTTAGGGGTAAAAAAAAAATATTTAAAAAAACAGGCCGCGGACCGGGCCTCGTTGGCCGCGGCCGCGGCCGGGATTTTCGGCTGCAGCGGCCGAAATGCCCGCGGCCGCGGCCGCGGGTGTCACATAGCGCGACAAGCCAAGTAGGTGCAAGAGAAATCGACGAGGACTCCGTGAAAGACTGCGAGTGAAACGACGTGGACTCCGTGAAAGACTGCAAGTGAAACGACGTGCATATGGAGATCAGAATGTTGTTCAGGCTACGATTAATCGGTGTTCCCTATGTATCTTTCACTGCAGCACGGGGGTAGTCTCGACAAGCCTACTCAAAATCCTACGGGACTGTGCGCACATGAGTGTGTATGAATGTGTTGTGACATGTAGAGGAGGAAGTGTATTATATGATTCCTGGAAAGTGTAAAAGAGATGTTTTGGGTCATCGGTCTTGTCGTGCGCATTTGGAACTGCGCAGTTGAGGATGGCGAAGGCATGGTTAAAGGAAGGGGTCACAATCACTTTTTCTTCAATTGTTACGTTCATGAAAAAGTCTCTTGTATTCAAAGCACTGTTAGCTGGTCTTCTTAGTCAACCTTCCTCTTGTTCCGAATTAAAGACGTGGGATCTCGATCAGATAGTTTATACGTTTACTGCCATTCGTTCCTTTTCGGAGAAGCGAACGCGATTTCGATTGAGATGCATTCTTTCCGATTGCGCTAATCGTCGATTCAATGTCCACCTGAGGCAGAGACTGATTGTTCGAGTGACTTACGATGAACGGATTATTAAAGCTAGGACACGAAAATTGCGTATTAGTGCTATCAGATCGTTGGATATATCAAAGGCGTGGAAAAATCTGTTGATTCAGCGAATTCGTATCGTTTGGTGTCGTAATAAAACAGTTGGGGACCTATTTCATAATTTTCGAAAGGAAGCCAGACGATCCTCCGTTGACTGTGAGTGTTTTCAGAATGATGAAGTTTTTTTACGACGGAATGGGCATGTTGCCTTTCAGATCAGTGAGACAAACCTCTTTTCTTCTATCATGTCTAACTCTCGTAATATTATTGACCCCTTCAAATCTTTTCCGTCTTCCGTTGCTGCTTTACGTAGGCAGATATTTGAAGCCTTTCAGTCTCTTACATCTCTCCCCCCTGTCACTTCCTCTGCAATTACTACGAAAGATGTCGCAGGTTTCTTTAATTCCTCTGTTTCTTCGCTATCCGTTTCTTCCACTTCTGATCTTTCTGACGATGTCTGTTCACTGAAACGGCATTGCAAGGGGCTGGTCTTTTCTCCTATTGATCATAATCCTAAAGATTCTTTCGTCTGCTGTCCACTGGTCTACCGGTCCGGGTTAAATAAACTATTTCTTGAGAATTCTTCCTTTTCCGTTTGCAATAGGAATGAGAGCTCTGTGTTACTGGAATTTAAAAAGGAGTACTTCAATCGGGATCTGGGCAGGATTGCGAAATGGAACTGCAAGGGCACGTTCGGTAATGCCTACTGCATCCCCAAGGCTGGGTCTTTGGGCCGCGACGAGCTTTTTTCTTGGCTCCGATGATGACGATGTTTTGCTGGCGCGGGCGGGCGAGTTTCAATCGGTTGTCGGTTGATAAGTACGTATTAGCTTTGCCTAGGGAGTGACGACTTTTTTAGTACGATGTACCTGGTCTTTTTGCATTTGGGGGCAACTACCTGGCACTTTGCTGCAGAGGAATAATCATGAAAACGATCTGGTCAGCGCGTAACAACTGCATATTCCGGAAGGAAGAGGCAAACTTCCATCAGACCAGGAATCAGATCAGATCAAGCATTCAAGTTAGTAGACTGGCTATGTACGCAGACTGGAGAAGGAAGGACCGCCTCTAGTTTGGGTCAAGGGGAACTTCGCTAAGATATCTGCAGAAGGCAACCCGGAGGTTGCCCCCCGGTTGTTTGAATGAAACCACTGCGCCTTTTAGCAGTGGCAGATAGAGTGTTACTAGACGCCGGTCTGGGTATTTTAAGTGGCAGGCATTCTACACATACTGAAGAAACTTAGAGAATGGCCTTGCAGTTCTTTTACGCATTTATGAGCTTTAAAGTTTATTTTGGAAGGATGGTCTGTTGATAAGGAAATATAGGGACGCTGGACCCAGTTTCCAGCACAAGCCTAAGCTGGGTAAGGGCCCCAGATTCCGGGTTGTTTGTTGAGGACTTCCCGACCTTTATTTCCATATTTGAAATAAATGCTACATTTCTGCCATAAGAAGAAAAAAAAAACGCTATTTCTGCAATTACCCCAGGAACGGTAGCATGACTGATGTCGGCGTATCAAGGGTTCTGCTGAACGGCAATGAGAAAATGTGCACTTGCTTGGCCCAGTCATCTTGGCTGAGACCTCGGGTCCCGCTCCACTACATAACACTCTACGTGCAGAGAAAAAAAACCCGCTATTTCTGCAATTACCCCAGATCCTGGAACGTTTGCATGACTGCTGTTGACGTATCAAGGGTTCTGCTGAACGACAATGAGAAAATGTGAACTTGCTTGGCTCAGTCATCTTGGCCGAGATCTTGGGTCTCGCTCCACTGCAAAACACTCTACATGCATTTGGATGCTTTCTGGGCCAGGTGCATTCGGACGAGTCCAACATAATGAATGCATCCGATCAAGAAAACGTCCGAAAGCATGTAGAGTGTTGTGTAGTGGGGCGAGGCCCCTTCTTCTGTCATCTTGAAAGGTTGTTTCGATGTGTAACTCCAAGAATCGGACGAATGCCTGCACAACACCTCACCAATCTCCACCAGAAAATGGACCTGCACAACATCTGTCTGCGCCGCACCATTCAATGCAGGAACTGTGACTGCGAGAATTGAAAGCGGTGCTTCCATAGTCCACACCCGAACCGGTCCTGTCCGGTCTGTAGGGGTGGCCGCTTGCCATAGACATTAACTGCTCCTCAACCCAACATGTTCCCCTCCACTCCCTTTGTGGTACTAACACTCCCTTTGTGCTACTAACAAATACATACGAATGAGCACCGGTAAGAGAATAGATGATATGAAGATCAGAAATGAAATGAACGGAAGTATGAAGATGAAAGGGGGACACAGAAACTAAGTATAAGCTGAAGATCTGAAGTGAAATGAACAGGAGTATGAAGTCCTGAAGAGAAACGCACAGGAGCATACATTCCCTTTTACTCTGCCT